TCATGCTTTCCACGGAGGCGATGACCTTGTCGAAGTAGCCGCCCGCCCGCGCCTGCGCCACGATCCTGTCCAGGGACCTGCTGTGGAACTTCCTAGCGAGACTCTGAAGGGCCACGAAGTGCTCTGGTGATACCTTTGCGGAGAAGTCTACGTAAATGAACAATCACACAAATAAGCATAAACTCTCGAAAATCCGCGAACCCCTGGAGCTTGCCAGGAGCGGCGCCGGAGGCGCCGCCAAGGGAGCCCCACTCCGATCCAAGAAAACCGCCCTGGGCTCCGAAAAAATATGTTTACGCAGCTCGACTTTTCTCCGACTTAAGGAGACACGTGCATTATTGATGCACGCATTTCGGTTGTCGTTGGGTCCCCCCCCCGGAGCCTTGCTGGAGAGGGCGCGATGCGGGCCCACAGCTTTTCTCTGCGCAGCGAGCTGCACCAGAGCGATGGCCAGGGCAGCCGAAGCGGGGATCACGAGACTGCCACCCCCCACCTCCTGCAGAGGAACACACGCCAGAAGCAGAACATGTCGGGGAACTTCGCGCGGATTTCTTGGGTCGGCGCTGGCCCCCTGGCGGCGCCTCCGGCGCGCCCAACCCAAGCAATCCGCGCGCACCTTCGGAAATCTATGCTCGTGCCATGTTTGGTTCCTCTCTCCCTGTGGAGGGGGGGGGGGCAGCGTGGGAGGGAGAAACAGAGGCGAGGAGAAGGGAAAAAAAAACCCAAACCTCCGACGACGCGCTCTGGTCGAGCCCCCCGGCCCCCTGGACCTCTCGACACCGAGGCGTGGAAATTGCACCAACACCAACATCGGCGGTCGAGTTCGCGGAAAGAAGATGATCCCGACCTCGGTGATGGCGGTATTCTTCAGGCTTCCTAGGCGGCCGAGAGATTACCATCAGCACCAACATTTCGGATCATCTCCAGCCAGTGGAGGCAGACCCCCGAATGTTGGTGCTGATGGTAATCTCTCGGCCGCCTAGGAAGCCTGAAGAATACCACCATCGCCGAGGTCGGGATCATCTTCTTTCCGCGAACTCGACCGCCGATGTTGGTGTCGGTGCCAACCTCAAGGCCTCGGCCAGACTTTCGTCCTGGATCTTCTCTTGACGGCCCCGCGGCCCGAAAGCGGCATCAAGCGCGCCGGACACACTGAGGGGAAAAAAGCCTCCCAGGCGGGACTGGCTCGTGTCGCCAGGGTGTTCTGGGCCTTGCCCCCTTCGGGGTTACTTTCCTGCAGTCCTCGATCCCCCACATTTGTTGCTCCCTGGTTGTCGTCCGCCCGTGGGGAGGGCGAAACTCACTGCCCCGATGACTTTGGCTGCCCCAGGATGGAGGAGGAGTTCGCGAACGTCTCCAGCGCGTCTGGGGAGCTGAGGATCTCGGCGGCCTTGTTGATGCCCTGGAGCTCCTGGGTGCGCATCCTGACCCGCTCGCCCCACTCCTTGGCCTTGTCCTTGCACCCCTCCTCGGGGAGCCAGAAAGCCAGACGCGAGCGGCTCACGTCGCGGTGACGTCGGCGCTGGTCTCTGACACCGCGTGGAGTTGTTCAAACATGAGCGCTCGGGGCTTTCCTGTTGGCAAGGCTTCGGGTCGCACATCGACAGCTCCCCAGGTAGCCCCGGCTGGCTTCAACGGACCACCGGAGTTAGTCCCAGCTGGCCTCAACATGACCCCCAAATAGTCCAGGGCTGCTCGGGGTGCGTATTGAGGCCACATGGGACTGCTCGTGGGGCTGTTGAGTCCAGCCTGAACACCCCGGTGGAGCTGTCGGTGCGCAACCTGATGATGCTGCTGATGATGATGATGAGGATGATGAGGATGAAGATGAATATGAAGATGAAGATGAAGATGAAGATGAAAATGAAGATGAAGATGATGATGATGATGATGATGATGACGATGATGATGATGATGATGATGATGATGGTCAGGATGATGATGATGATGATGATGATGATGATGATGATGCTGATGATGATAGTGATGATGATGACGATGGTGATGATGATTATGTTGGTGATGATGATGGTGGTGATGATGCTGATTATGATGATGATGAGGATGATGATGATGGTGAGTATGAAGATGAAGATGACGCTGAGGATTAATAGGATGATTCATACGATGATGACGACGATGATGATGCTGATGATGATGCTGATGATGTGTTCTTTCAGGACGTCTGGCTGCACGAGCCAATGACAGTCAAGGTGTAAGCTCGGGCGGCACTCACCCACACCGCTCAGTGGCCTCGCTTCGTAAGCGCGTTCGAGCTTGGGCATGCCGTCTCCAACAACGTAGATCGTTCGATGCCCGCAGGCTCCGGGCAACTGGCGGCGCTCCGCCTCCAGCGGCCGCGCCGAGGTCGCTGCCGCGTGCCTGCCCCCTGAACTCACACGTCCACCGCTCACACAGCCGAACATCCGATCAAGAAACACTTATCGTGTAAGACATCTGGGCCAGCTTCCAGTAAGTTTCGGAGAGCAAATCTGGGCCAGCTTCTGGTGCTCACGCTGAAAGAGCGAACGCGCTCAGGATACTGGGCCAGCTTTCCAGCAAATGGGAGGCCCGCGCAGATTCCTCGGATCGGCGCTGGACCCCTTTGCCGCGCGTTTGGCCGCGACGCCAAACATTGTCTGTCTTTGTGTGTGTGTACCGTTCTGGTTCCCTCTTTTCCTGGGTGGTTGCGAAGAATTCCTCGTCGGCCTTCAGCTGCGCCTGTGTGTCCGCGCGCAAGAGCTTGCTCTCCGCCATCTTCTTCGCCTTCTCGGCCTTGGAGAGCTCCTGCTGCTCCTTGGTGCCCTCCAGCGTCTTCAGCTCGGCCTTCTTGGTTGCCATGAACTCCTCGAACGCCTTCTGGGCGTCCGCCTCCTCCACGTTGCCCTTCTCGAGGCTCTGGGTGAAGGTGTCGTACAGGCCCTTCAGGTTGGAGGCGGCCGGGGGGTCTGAGCTGGGGAAGCCCAGCCAAGAGGGGGGGGGGATGCGGGCAAAGCTGTTCACAATCGGTCCCTGGACCCCTCCCGGGGTCGAAACCGACATTTTTTTTGAGCCGCGTCCTGCCGTGCCGACGAGGGGGCCCTCTCTCCCCCCCTCTACTAGCCGGAGCGAACGGTGGATCACCTCTGTCCCCCAGCCAGCTCCAACCTTCAGGATGCCCACGATGCGGTCCGACTGCGGGGCGTAGTCGCCGAACGGATTGTGAGTGCTGCCCGTCTGCGCGGCTGACACTCCGCCGTGCTGGACCTCGTCAGGGGCCCTCGCTGCGCCCACGCTATGCCCTGCAAGCAGATAGCGCGTCGCTCCGCTCTGTGGGGCGGGAGGCTGGGAACGACTCGGGACATCGACGCTCGAGAACTGGGACGTGGACAGCGTCTCGCGCCGAAGCGTGCTGGGCCGGAACCGGCAGCGCGACAAGCTGAGCCAAAGTTCATGACCGCATTCGCAGGCGATCACACTTGTGGACGTAACGACGCCCCACACCCCAACGCAGGACCATGAACTGCCCGGACTTGCCGAAGAACGCCCTCGCGAAGTCGAGGTCCTTCTCCGGGACCTGTGCCGAGTAGCTGGCCTTCCTGAGCACCTCAGGGACAAGGAGCCAACGACATACGCTCGCGACGCCGGTCCGACCAAGACAAATACCCTCATGAGTCGGCATGGGAAATGCTGCCGGGGCGTGGAAGCTCGAGTGCCGGAGGCGGAAAGTTGGGTGTGCGCGGAACCGCTGCGGAGCGAACAGAACACACACACACACACGCACACACACACAAAAACACTTTTTCCCTCCGACGCGTGGCTAAATTCAAACCACGGGCGCAAGGTAATGGGACGCGTGTATACCTCTGGACACGCACAAGACTCAATACACACACACACCAGTCAGGCGGCCACATGTGAACCCTACCCCCACCCCATGATTTCTGAGGGAGGGTAGGGTAGGGTTCACATGTGGCCACCGACCACTGGCAGGCCGAGGCCGACAAGCGTGGCGCGGTGACGGACAGGCTGCAAGGGCAGCGAGCCAAGAGGAGGAGCCAAAACATACAGTCGGACCTGGGCCAGAAGCACATCCTGCAAGAACACGAGACCCTCCGCTGGACAAAACACACAACACACAACATCCAAGGGTATAAAACGACGCGAGGATCGGGACAAAATCGGATCGGGATAACTCGAAATCTCTGAGAATCGGCGGGTTTGGAGGATGTATTGGGCGCCGCGGCCGCTCCAGAGCGTTCCGGAACGCTCTGAGAGCGCACCGGAACGCTCTGGAGCGATTTATCCCGATCCTAGCCCTGTTTTAGGGTACCCTCCCCAGGATGCACAAGCGAGTCCAACAAACAAGAAGAACATCCAAGGGTACCCTCCCCGAGCCGACCTCGATCCTGTGCCTCGGTCCGACCTGTACCGGGGGCAGCAGACAAGAGGCGGACGCGCAGGCAGTGCGGCCTGCGACAGCCGACGCACGCACACACGTTTAGGGCGTCGCGGCCACGCGCGCGAGGCCGGCCCAGGTGACGCGGCGAGGACTTAGTGGATTCGCCCATAGGGCCGTAAGGGATCAGCAGCATCACTCCCAGGGGGGGGGGCAGACGCGAGGGGAGCAGCCAGGAAGGGGTGGCGGGGAGACGGGGAGAGCGGGGAGACGGCGACCAGTCCTGTGCGAAGTACAGCCGACAAAGCTGAGGTGCAGTGACGAACCAAGACGGCGGCCCGAGGAAGAACGAGGCTGCAGGCAGACGAGGCCCTGGGCAAACCAGGCACAGGGATGAGACAGCGCCAGCGAGGCGCGCCGCAACAAGGAAGCCGGTGTCGCGCAACGAGCGGAAAGGTGCGGACAGGAGGCCAAGTGAAGCCCTGGGGTGGAGACGGCAACACACACACACAGACACAGACACAGACACACACAGACACAGACACAGACACAGACACAGACACAGACACAGACACAGACACAGACACAGACACAGACACAGACACACAGACACAGACACAGA